CAGCCGTATCAGCTACCCCGGCAGCTTCCCCAGCCATGCCCATCCCCTGGATCTCCACCACCGTGATGGAGCATTCCCCCACCAACAACGCCACCGCCACAGGGTGAGACTGGGGCCCTTGGGCGCAGGGTGGGCACGGGGAAGGGTAGTGGCTGTCACTGCCGTGGGCAGCAGTGGGTGCCCCTGTGCGAGGGGGCTCGTGGGGACATGCAGGGTCTTCATCCCTCAGCCTGAGCTTTTGGGTGTGATGCAGTGGGGTCCCAGGCTGTTGTCCACACTTTCTGTCCCACCCTGCGGCTGGCTGCGGAGGGGTGGCGGGAGGGCACCAGCATGCAGGGCACTGCAAAAGCAAAGTCACAGCTTTGTGAGAGAGAGAACCAGCCAGGCTCCCCTCACCGCCAGCCCTGGGGGGCCAGCCCTGAGCGCCCTGGTGCCCAACGCGGTCCTTCTCTCCCTCCCGGCTGCCGCTGGCTCCACTAGGCTCCTCTGCACCCTTCCCAGGAGGAGGGAAGGTAACGGTGCCCACACATGCCCTGTCCCCAGTGCCTGTCCCAGGACTTGGGGGACAAACCCACCCTGGGCGTGGGGCTGCAGGGAGCTCCCCCCTCCCTGTGACACAGAAAACCTGCTCCTGTGTCTCTTCTTTCTGGCACGCTGCCCCCTCCCACTAAAGCCCCTGCTGTCCCCCGCGAGCCGGGCATCTCCATGGATCCGGACCATGGCCCCGACTACGACAACGAGCTGGACCTAGCAGAGGTGAGGGCTCCTGGTGCAGGCAGCGTGGACAGTGCAGTCAGCGTGGGCAGGAGCCCTGCAGTGCGGTTGCTCACCCTGGGCAGCCTCCACACTGCCCAGCTGTACCCCAGGGCTGCGGGGGCACGCTGTCCCCTCGCCAGGGTGGCTGCAGTGACATGGAGCAGGACCCTGAGCTGGAGAACGACGGTGTCTACACAAACACCCCATGTCAGGAGAAGGTGATGGGGACACCCAGCTGACATTTCCTGGGCGAAGAGGTTTCCTACTTGTCCTAGCAGAGCATTCCTCGTGGGCAGAGGGGTCCCTGCGGGGTAAGACCGGGGATGTCCTTGTGATCACCCCCAGGGGTGTCCTTGCAGAGGAGGCGAAGGAGCATTGCAGGAGGCAGCTGCTGCTGTCCCATCACCGCGGCATCTCAGTGGTGTAACAGCCTTTGCCCATGATGCTGGAGCCCAAGGCCATGCTGGCACCATTCCCCAGCCCGTGGGATCCCAAGAGCTCCCTGCCCCTGCGTTGCTTTGGCAGATTGACCCACACCTCTCAGCTGGCAAAAAACCGCATCCCTGATTCTTGTACATGCTGAGGAGTGGGATGTTTTCCCGGCTCAGCAGCAAACAGATTGCTTTGGGTTCAGATAAATCCAGTAAAGAAATTCCTCTGTGAGGGCTTGGTCTGGAGGGGAGAGGAACCAATCTGGTGTGCCCACAGAGCCGCTCTGCTGCTGTCATCCCCCGTGGGGGTCCCCTGGGCACCTCAGTACCGCTGGGGCTGTGTTAGGAGGGCGCAATGGGAACGGACACTCAAAGCAAGAGGAAGACGAGAGCGGTTGGGGAGGCAGCTGGAGCCCTGGCTGCCCAGTCTTTCCAGGAAGGCTTATCAGCAGAAAGCAGGTTTGCAATCTCCAGCCACTTCTTGAATTTAGATCTTGCTGCTATTTGCAGCAACTTGGCTCACAACCAGTGACCCAGTTCACTGGAAATGAATGGGGTTACTTGATGATCAGAAGGAAAACACAGAGCTTCCTCTTGCCATGGCGGTGGGACAGGGAGGGGATGGGATGGGGGGAAGGAGCAGCCTCAGCCTCCAGCAGGGCCAGGGGTTTGTGCTTTCTGCTCTTTCCAAGGGGCACCGAGGAAGAAAGCCATCATCAAGACAGCTGCCAGGGAAGCAGCTTTGCTTTTTGTGTTTGGGTTTCTGAAACTTTCAGTGGAAACATTTAATTTTGGGAGAAAAACAGCGTTGTCACTCAAAACCCACGGCTGTGCCAAAAAAGGCGGTTTTGGGGGGAAATGAGACACTTCTGCTTGAGAAAACAAACCAAAGCAGCCCAGCTCACGCTGGTGGCCGGCTCGGGAGCTGGGGAGCAGCAGTGCAGGGGGTCCATCATCCCAGTCCATCATCCCAGTCCATCATGACTGGGAGAGCATCCTGGTGGTCGCAACCGGTCCATCCACAGGGGCTGACCTGCATTCGCTCTACCCAGGTCCCCGGACCCCCGCTCTGGCCTGGCCCCCCTGCAAAGCCTCCCAAAGCCCTTCAGGCTCTGTGCATGGGGAAATGGGGAAAGGGCTGCGTTCCCCACTGGGACAGGCATCACAGCGGAGGAACCAGCTGCATTTTGGCATTTTGCTGGGAACCAGTGGCTGTTTCAGAGTGAAGGCAGAGAGTCTCTCTCATGAGACACCCCCAGGGTGAGTCATGGTCCCCGGACGAAGGGGAGGAAGCAACCGCCTTTAAAAAAGACATCCAGGGTCTGCGGGTAAACGCTGCCAGAAAGCGACAGGAGAAGGAGGCTTCGGGAGTTCCTGGGATGCCGGGTGCGTGTGAACCTGGCTCCGTCCCACAGGGTGCTTCGTGAATAACCACAGGGAAAAATCCGCATCAGGAGTGAGAAGCTGAAAAATGAGGATTTTCCTGGTTTGGACCATTTTCCCAGGTGAGACCCAGGAGCACAGGTCAGGCGGTTCCCCTGGGCTCTGGCAGAGCTGCGGAGAGGCTGGGAACGTGCCACGCCCACAAGGCGGTCTGAGCCAGCCCAGGAAGCCCACCGCGGTCACGGCAAGAGCCCAGCTGATACTGTCCTTTTCTTATGGCCAGTGGATGGCTACAGGGAGTGATCTCTGAGGTATGCTTGTATTGCTGTCATATGAACCCTGGTAATAAGGCTTTTTGCTCATTTAATAACACGCACGCTTCACAGGCCTCTTTTTTTAATGCCTGGGGACATCTCATCTTAGCACTGCTCCCCAGTGCAACGGGTGCACAGGCACAGCCTTCCTTGGGACAGGGTGCCCATGAGCATTCCGGGCTCAGATCCCTCCTGGTTCCCTGAGGCGATGCTGGTATGTGTTTGCAGCATCTCTCCCTGTCCCCCGCAGGCAGCTGGGCAGTGACGGGCCCCGCACAGGTGACGGCCGAGCAGGGCGGCTCGCTGGCTCTGTCCTGCAGCTACAAGCCAGGCTACAAGCTCTACCCCAAGTACTGGTGCCGCCCGGGCTTCCTCTGGTTTTGCTTCACCTACATTGCCCAAACCAACGGCTCAGAGGTGACGGTGACGCAGGGCAGGGTGTCCATCAGGGACAACCATGCGGCACGCTCATTCACGATGACGCTGGGTGGTATCACACCGGGGGACGCAGGCTGGTACTCCTGCGGGGTGAGGAGGAGCCTGTGGTTCAGCCTGCGGCACAACACCGAGGTGATGGTCTCCGCAGGTAAAGCTGGGCTGGGAGCAAAGCAGGGGCATGCGATATAGCCTGTCACTTGAGGATAGGGCTTCCCCAGCCAGGGGAACTCAGGGGTTATCAAAGCAGCAACAAGGTCCTTGCAGGCACTGAGACCCGCTGGAGGCTGCTCCGGTGCAAATTTGGATGAGGGATGGAGGAGGCTGTACAGAGCTTCATGCAGAGCAGACCCTCTCCCTCACTCCCATTCAGCGTCTCTGCTTCCACAAGCCCATCCTTTGGGGTTTACAGTCCCTTCCAGTTAAAGCCCCCTTTTCCTTCCTCCTCCTCCCCAGTGCCCAGTGTGTTGCCCGAGGACCCCCATCTCCACCTCCTGCACCTCCACAGCCAAAGTCTTGGGGCAGAGACCCCACACACAGGGGGCAGGACAGGGTGCGGGGGTCTCCATTTTGCTCTGACTCTCTGTGTTTTCCTTGCAGCTGTTTCAACCACAACCGAGGGCAGCAACGTGAGCCCATTGGCCACCAACCCCCTGTGTACCACGGGCTGTGGGGAGCCTCCAGTGCTGTGAGTCAGGGCTTGGGGTCCAGGCAAGCCCCCAGCAGCATCCCCTGACTTAAGACACCTTTTCCCTGCATGCATCCCCCAACCCTGGCTCTTCCAAGTTGCAGCAGCCCCAAGGAGCATCCCGGGGGCAAGCGGGGTGGCTGGCAGACATGCAAGTGCCCCAGTACCCATCCTCATTGCCCAGACCCTACTCAAGCTCTAGCATGATCTCCTCTGTCCTGCTCAGGTCCCAGCTCAGCATCACCTACCTGCTGCTCTTCCTCAGCATGAAGGTGCCCGTGGCACTGGCCCTGGTGTGCATGGCTGCCTGGGTGAGGAGCCGGCGCAGGAGCCACGACCAGGAAAACCTGCAGCTGTTGGAGGTGGCCGGCAGCACCGGGGCACCAGGCTGCACCCCCGCCCCAGAGCA